AAAATGTTCTTTGACCCACTTTTCTATCAGCCGTCATCCCATTTCTTTGAAGAAAAAAAAATAAACCTTCAAAAGAATTGGTTATATTTTCTCTTTTAATTTTCCCATTCCTATTTTCTCCAAACTGACACCTCCACTGAGACTGTTCTTGTCATGACCCATTTCTTTGTTTCCATTTGGAACAAAATTATCCAAAAGAACAGTCAGTGTACACTGCTGCCAGTTTCTTTCCTTCTGTTCTTTTAAGACCTATTCTGGTTCTTAGCAAACCATCGAAAGGACTCTTGACTCACTTTGGCGGTTTAAATGAGAATGGACCCCATAGGCTAATATATTTGAATACGTGGTCCCCAGTTGGTGGGACTGCCTGGGAAGGATTAGAAGGTGTGGTTTTGTTGGAGAAGGTGTGTCAATGGCGGTTATTTTGGAGGTTTCATTCCCAGTTGCCCTGCCACCTGCTTCCTGTTTGTGGATCAGGATGAAGCACTCAGCTATTACTTCATCACCATGCCTACTTCCTGCTGCCATGCTCCGCACCATGGGAGCATGGGCTCACCTGAAACTGTGAGCTCCACCATAAATCCTTTCTTCTAGTAGGATTCTAGTTCTAATGTAGTCTTATTGTGGCAACTGAAAAGTAACTAAGTGTCTCTCGCCAATGATGCTTCTGTTCTAAATCTCAACTGTGACTTCTCCGACTTCTGTTGACACAACTGCAGCCCACACTTGAGCACTTCCATTTCCGACTCCTGGCTTCCCCCCAACTCCCCATCACTCTTCAGTTTCTATGGTAGTTTTGCTGCTTCCTTTTCTCGTGCTCATGATTGAGGCTGCAGGCCGTCCGTGACCACTTATGCCCATTATCTCTGATACGAATGTCCTCAGCTCTAACCTCCAAACTCTGCTGCCCAAGTCACCTCCAGCCTGGGATGTCCAAAGCACAGAATGTTCCTGCAAAGATAAACTCCTCCATCACAACTTCTCCCAAAACCTTCTTCTATAAACTCCATTGTGCTAGCTGCTCTGGTCAAAATCTTAGGGAGTCATCCTTAACTTTTTTTTATACACCACTATCCAGCTAATAACAAAAGCATTCTGGTTGCATCCCTGCATCTGCTATCCACTGCTACTGCTACCATCTGATGGGAGAAGCCTGTTTCATCCTGACTGCTGGACTCATCTCCTGAAAGACTCCCCCAACGTGTGTCATTGCTTCCACACAGTCTACATTTTACCTATGAGCCAGAGTGATCCATAGAAAACATAAAGCAGAGCCGGGCGGTGGGGGGCGCACAGCTTTAATCCCAGCACTTGGGAGACAGAGGGAGGTAGATCTCTGTGAGTTCGAGGCCAGCCTGGTCTACAAGAGCTAGTTCCAGGACAGGCTCCAAAGCTACAGAGGAAAACCAAAATATAAAAATAAAACAAAATAAATAAAGCAGATTTTGAGTGCTCCACTCAAAATCCTGTAGTGATTTCTTAGTTCGTTAAGAATAAAATTCAAAACTATTACAAAAGTATACAAGCCCTGTGTTCTCTGGGGGGTTCGCAGAGGCGCGGCTCCTTTGAGAGAGGCTTCCTGACTCAGTGTTAGCAGCAAAATCTCAGCAGCTCTTTTAGGAGGCCCTGACACCAAACACTTAAATAGTGACTCTGAGCAGCTGCACGCAATGCTCCCTGGTGGTGGCGTGGACCTAGAAACTCCACTGAGTTGCGGGGAAAAAAAGTGGCTCCTACTAGTACCTCCACCATGAAGCTAGACTCCCAGGAAGGCAAGGAGTGGGGTGGATCCAGCTGCCAAAGTCATGGCTTTAATCCTAGCCATATCGCTTAGCAAATTAAAGACTCATGTAGTCAGAAAAGAGAAATAAATAGTAAAAACAGATTCAGATTTTTTAAAGAAAAAAGCCTCTAAGCAGTTTACAGTATGTTTAAAAATTTACATAGGCTTGGGAGAAAAAAGAAAAAGGTTAGAGAAAGTCCTTTAAAAGGAGAGAGAGAAGAGTTAGATGTAGGGGCACACACCTTTAATCTCAGCACTTGGGAGGCAGAGGCAGACCTTTGTGAGTTCAAGGTAGCCTGGTTTACAGAGTGAGTTCTAGGACAGCCAAAGATACACAAAGAAATACTGTCTCAAAAACACTGGCTTTGTGGGAGCCTGGTTTGTTTGGATGCTCACCTTCCTAGACCTGGATGGAGGGGGGAGGACCTTGGACTTCCCATGGGGCAGGAAACCTGACTGCTCTTAGGACTGGAGAGGGAGGGGGAGGGGGAGGAGGAGTAGGAGGGAAATGGGAGGTGGTGAGGAGGTGGAAAATTTTAATAAATAAATAAATAAAAAGAAAGAAATAGAGTTAAAAAAATAAAACCACAAAATATGGAAAATACAAAAAAGAATTTGAATACTGTATGCTACTGTGTTGATTTTGAATTATTTGACTGCTGAGAAAGGAACAACAGCTGCTAAAAGACATTTGATTACAAATGCTGCTAGATTAATCTAACATATATATTTTGAAATGCCCTGACATCAAAATTTTAGTCAAAAGATATGTTACTTTGGAGAAGAGGTTTTGCTTTTGTTTCCACAGGAAATGAGAGGCTATGAATTCATTCTGGGTTAAGAAAAATAAGGTTTGTTCAAGGAAGATCCCCTGAAAAATCTCCCATTGGAACAGATGGCCCAGATGATCCAATGTTTCAGAGGACCTCTGTTGCAGTTTCCTCTGAGTTCTACATCCAGAACATTCTCAAGACTGTTATCCAGGCTCACAGAATACTCCAGTCAGGACTTGACCATAATCCTAAATTTTCTTTAAGTCCCCCTAAGATTATCACTGCCCCCAATCAGCAGAAAGTAGCCCATAAAACTATGCTCACATTCCCAAAAAATGAATTATGGCTTTGTTTAGAGTGTTGGTTGCAAGTTGTTATGGATAATGGTTAGGAAAAAAGCTAAACAAAGGAGATTAGATTCAGAGTTCTTGTTTTGATAAGAAAAAAGGTAAAGTCCTGTGGGATAATGCTCTTGTACCCTGCAAAGATTTGTCGTGTGTATTGGTTTAATAAAATGCTGATTGGCCAGTAGCCAGGCAGGAAGTATAGCAGGGATGACCAGAGTAGGAAAATTCTGGGAAGAGGAAATGTTCAGTCTGTAGTCACCACCCAGATGCAGAGAAAGCAAGATGAAAGTGCTGCATTGAGAAAAGGTTCCAAACCACGTGGCTAAACATAGATAAGAATTATGGGCTAATTTAAGTTGTAAGAGTTAGTTAGTAATAAGCCTGAACTGTAACATGAGGGGAACCTGCTTGTTTGTGTTTTTCTGTTCTGCCTGGTACCCCCAGCTGTTTAGTCCCAGAGAAAAATCACACACAGATCTCTATAAGTTATAAAGCTGATTGGCCCATTAGGTCAGGCTACTTATTAGCTAACTCTCACATCTTGATTAACCCATTTTTCTGATCTATGTTAGCCCTGTGGCTCTGTACCTTTTTCAGTGGGGCAGATCACATCCTGCTGCTTCGGTGATCTGGGCAGGAGTGCGAGGAATCAACTTCCTCCTCCCCAGAATTCTCCTGTTCTCCTTGCATCACTTCCACATCCTGTCTGGTTTTCCTGCCTACACCTCCTGCCTGGCCAATCAGCGTTTATTTAAAACATGATTGACAGAATACAGACAATTCTCCCACACCACTAAACTAATAGGCCAAACAGTTTATAATTAATATAAGTCTCTGTGTGTTTCTTTGGGACTGAACAGCTGTGGGACTGGGTGGGACAAAACTTGTGTCTACAAAATGTTTTTGTTCTGTTCATGGTCATAAACCTTTGGAGGCACACAGGAGGTGTACAACAAACACCTACTGGATGTCCAACGAATACAAAGATAAACGGTGTGTCTTTAAAGGGCCGGTAACATTTTTCACACAATCAATCACTGGAACCTCATATGACTTTTGTGGACTTTCCCCCAAACTCCTGATTTATTTATTGCTTCTAGGTCTGTATAAGCTTTTGATTGCATGCCTGGTCATCAGTGTTAATGAGCTATTATTTCCATCAAGTTACATCTTTCATTTAAGTTTGAAAATGTATTGGCACAAAGCTGCCCAAATTTGTTCTTAATTTCTGTAAGGCAGCACCATGACATTCAAAACAAGGCTTATGCACTCTCTGTTGTGCCTTTTCGTATTGGCGATTGGTGATGCTCTGCATTGCCTTTCGTAAAACTCTGCTGGTCTTTTACACATCACCCAAGTTAGAGTCTGAAGGGTCTGAGTCCTCTCCACACATTTCCTGTTCTCTTCTCACTGGATGGGCATTGGGGGGGGGGGGTAGGGGGTAGGGTGGATGGGGTCTTACCTCCCTAATTCCTTAAAGTAAAGTAAGGTCATCTGACTAATGATTAAAGACATATACCCCTTTTAGATAGAACTATTTTTTTTTAAAAAAAAAAAACCTATATACAGGAAAGGAATTGTCTTTTCAGTAAACATAGGCTGAGTCAATTAGATATTCATATGGATAAAATAAACCAAGATCCTTACCACATCATTTACAAACATGCCCAGATGGATGACAGGGATAAATGTAAAAGATCTTGGACAGGCAGTTTTTAGTGTGTTGTGTCACATGACCGTTGATTTTAGTACTTGTGAAGATGAGGTAGGAGAACTGCTGAGTTCAAGACCAGTCTAGGTTAAAGAATGAAACACTAGCTTGGTGGTGGTGCATGCCTTTAATCCCAAGGCATTCAAACAACAACAGAACACCTATGACGTTCTCAATCCCTTGGATCAAAACATACTTAAATTATCCTGCGGTGCCCTCCCCAGCTTCTCGGAAAACCTTGGGACAGGAGTTTGGTTGGGTTCCGGCCGAGGCACAGGTCTCGCGAGACTCGCACGCGTGCCCGAGAGCAGCCCGGCGCTGGGCACCATAGCCCAACTGCCCAGGGTCCAACTGCCAGGCTAACGGTCGGCGGCTTCGCTCCCAACATGAGCTCCCTCGGAGGGCCGACTGAGGCTGGGGAGGGCAGCGTGGCGCCCGGGCCTGCAGGTGAGCCCGCAGCGGTGGAGAACCCTCCCCAGGACCGAGCCGGCAGGAATGCTGGGCCCAGCGTCGCGGTCAGCATGGACGGTCTGGGCCAGGAGGAGGCCTCACCGCCGCCCGAAGCCCCGGAAGCTGCCCCGGACAAGGGCCTCCCGCAAGGCCTGCCAGGCCCCAGTGGCGCAGAGCAGCCTGCCCCCGACGGTGTGGCCAAGACCAAGGCCAGGGTCCGGAAGGTGGACAAGTGTGCAGGGGAGGAGGGGGCTGAGAAGCCGGCAGATGAGGATGCGGAGGCGGGACCGCGCCTCCCGAATGTGGCTCTGCAGATGAGGTCCCTGGAGGCCATCCAGCTGGATCTGAACACCGTGAATGCCCAGGCCGACCGCGCCCTCCAGCAGCTGCAGCACAAGTATGGGCAGCTCCGTCAGTACTATCTGGAGCGCAGGAACTACGTTATCCAGAGCATCCCCGGCTTCTGGGTCACGGCCCTTCGCAACCACCCGCAGCTGTTCGAGATGATTACAGGCCGAGATGCAGAAATGCTAAGATACATAACCAACCTGGAGGTGAAGGAGTCCAGACTCTCCAGGGCGAGTTGCCGATTCAAGTTCTTCTTCCGTAGAAACCCCTTCTTTAGAAACACTCTGATCGTCAAGGACTACGAGGTCAGACCCACTGGCCAAGTGGTATCGCTCTCCACTCCAATCATCTGGCGCCCTGGTCATGAACCGCAGCCCTTCATTTATGGGAACCAGGAGGTCACGTGTAGTTTCTTCACCTGGCTTTCAGACCACAGCCATCCAGAGCGTGACAGGATTGCCCAGATTATCAAAGAGGACCTCTGGCCAAACCCACTCCAGTATTACCCCTTCCATGTAGGGGCTCCTAGAGCCAGACGTCACCAGATCAGAGAGCCTGTGGAGATTCCTAGACCCTTTGGTTTCCAGTCTGGTTAGCCATTGCCCATGTGAGTCCTCTAGGACTTAACTGCTGGACTAGTGACTGACTGAGCAACAGAAACGGGTATGCCTTTGTGTCGACATTTCTGTACCCTTCCTCTTTTAAACCTTTGCTTTTAAACTTTTCAGCTACAAGACTGAAACTCCCACGATACTGTTGTCTCATCTCCACACAATCTTTATGCTCGTTGCATTTGTGTCACGTGATGCCTAGTTCACCCGTCCTACGCCGAGGAAATGACGCTCTGCATTTCACCTTCTTTATCTGCACCATTTGGACACAGTTTGTTTTCCAGGGACATTGGTCTACCACTTAGACGACTGGAAAGCTGTTTACCCTTCTCTGCATTGCCTGTGAACATCTGAAGAGCGAGGCCATCGCGAGCATAGTAACAGACCATTTGGTCTGTGCATCTTTCATGGTTCCAGACTGTTGCCTGCTACAGAATCTTACCCACCTGAGTTGCTGCCAGCTACTGTTTTCTGTTGTCTGGTAAACAAGAAACTCCAGAACTGGTAATGGAGCAAGACTTTCTACCAGAGTATGATCCTTTTTTCCTTAGGGGGGTGGGGACACTTTCCCCCCTTTTCCTACCCACTCTCACCACCACCATCACCCATCCTTATCACCCAGAAACCCTGTTGACAGTAAAGTAAGTGGCTGGGTGACAAAGTAAACCTTACCCTCAACAAACTTTCTTAACCCCAACCAGTGAATTAGTACAAAAGCTAGGCACTTTTGTTTGCCTCCCTTCCTCAACCTGAAAATGTTGCAAGGCTGGTGGTGATATAATTAATCTTCAATCTCTGTGTCTCTTCTGACTAAAGAAATTGATGGCCCCAAAGCATCTGTGAAAGTGGGCACTTTAACTTTCAGCTTTGATTTCCAGAGGCAGAGAGGCATGTAGACTTGGTGCCTCAGTACTGCAGCCTCTGCTTTCTTTCCAACACCTTGTTCCCCCCACACCCTTTAATAACAATGCCATGTGTGGTTTAAGATTAGAGGGATATAGATCTAGATAGGAAAAAGTAATTTCTAGTTTATTGAGGCTAGAACCAAGTCGTGTATGTGCATCCTAAGCAAAGCTGAACCAGAGACCAGAGGTGAAGCAGGAATAAGGTAGACTGATGGATAGCTTGTGACAAGGAAGTTTCTACCTTTAGGATGATAGGAAGAGAAATACGTTTCCTGGGGTTGGGAGAGGAGCTAAACGGTAAGAGCACTAGCATCCAGGCCTTGTGTTCCAGCTCTAGCACAAAATTAGAGAGAGAGAAAGAGAGAGAGAGAGAGAGAGAGAGAGAGAGAGAGAGAGAGAGAGGTTTCTCAGGGCTGAGATGAGAAAACAGTGGTTGGAGTACTAAATGTGCTACTTAGAGAAGGGTTCTCTGAAGGACAACGTGTCATTCATTGGGGTTTTCTGGTTTCATCTGGTGAGAGATTAAAACTATCACAAGTAGTTAGTAAACTTTTCTTATCTTTCTGTATACTACGGAGAAAAGTATGCAGATTTTCTTTTTCTTTTAGTTGGGAACATTTAGGAAAAAATCATTTTTGTTTAATATAAAAATGTGAATATTTGTAACAGTTTTCATTGTTTTGATTCCTGTTAAAATTTTATCCTTAATTATCCTTAATTTTATTTATCCTTAAAATTATCCTTAATTTTAATAGCTTGATTTGTCAGACCTTGAAAATTGGATTTTGCCATTTTCATGAAAAAATAATTTATAAAATATTTGTGGCTCTAATTGTTTTATTTAATAATTTGTCTTATAGTGTTTCCTTCCTAAGCAGCTGAAAAGTGAAGAGTATTATTGCCATGCTTGTCATTCCTTTGTGACGACAAAAGAACAGCATTCTCATTCAGGGCTCATCTGAGAGTAGTCTATTACAAATTCTTCAGAAAGTTGAGTGTCTCTGCGCGCGCGCGCACACACACACACACACACACACACACAACTTCTAATTCTGGGAACATTTGCATTCCAACCCTGAGTTCGATTTCTGGAACCGTTATGATACAAAGAGAAAACCGATTCCTGCAAGTTTTCCTCTGACTTCTGCACCCACAATGGCACACCTTGGCCACCCCCTCTTCAACACACACAATATTTTTTATGTGTATGGATGTTTTGCCTGCATGTATGTCTATGTACCACATACATGCAGGACCCTTGGAAGTCAGAAAAGTGTGTTTGATTCCCTGGGACTGGAGTTATAGTAAGGTGCCATGTAGGTGCTGGAAATTGAAAAAGCAGCCAGTGCTCATAAGTTCTGAGCCATCTCTCCAGGCTCAGTAATCACACAGTTTTAATACCTAAATCCAGGAACGACTCCAGTGTCCATCAATAGGAGAAAACTTGTGTATATGGTTTAAACATGTGGTACACACACATGTGAAGCTAGAAGCCACAGAAGGATACTGAGTGTCACACTCTGTCACTCTGCCTTTTTCCTTTGGGAACACGTCTCTCGCTCTGCTAGTAGGCAGACTGGCAGCCAGCAAGCCCAGGCATTTCTCCTGTCTCTGCCCACTTCCCCACCCCCACTCCTGTCTTGGGTTATAGGCATGTGAACAGCCACACCTGAGTTCATCCCCTTATGTGAACAGCCACACCTGAGTTCATGCCCCCATGCTTTCACAGCAAGAACTGGAACTCACTGAGCCTTTACTCCAGCCCCAATAGTCGGGGGAGGCAAGTTTTTAATATTTATTCACACAATGAGAGATAACTACACTTATGTGAAAAAAAGAATGAATCTCACAAATATGCTTTGGGATATATGAAGACAAACACATGGTATGGCTATGTAATTTCACTTCATATATGAAGTTTACAAAACAGAAAAATTAAGCTGCTTAGAGTAGACATCAGAATCATGATCACTATTAAAAGCAATGAAGGATTTGAGATTTAATTTACAATCTAACAAGTTACTCTGCTGGTTAATGGATTCTGGGTAAAAGGAATTTAATACATACCATCGACATTTTACCAGTTTCTGAAAATAATTACAAGGTAACATGAAAACCAAGTGATAACTGCACACAGGGTTCTGTTATAAAGAATTCTGAGTTTAAGGAACATGAATTTTTTAAGTAATTTTAAGTGCATTGGTGTTTTGCCTGTGTGATGGTGTCAGACCTCTGGAATTGGATTTACAGCAAGTTGTAAGCTGCCATGTGGGTGTAGAAATTGAACCCAGGTCCTCTGGAAGAGGACTACTGAGCCATCTTTCCAACCCCACATGAATTCTTTTATAATGGGAGTAAACATGGTTGCCCTTTGCTTTCAAGAGAGATATTTTACTGACAATAAGTAAACCTGTTTTGTTCCATAGGACACCATCTGTTTTCAAGTCTTTTAGAAAATGTGTTCTTTGCTCTAAAGCCATCTCTTGAAATTGCTTATCTGAATCCCCCCGAACACTGGTGCTCAGTGCCTCTGCTCACAAGATGTGTGGAAAAGTGTAAGGCATGTGGAGAATCATCTTGGAGTTTATCTGTGGGATGGAGAGAAATTGAGGTATCACAGATTCTGAAGAGCTGGTGATGTCTGTCTGGCATCTTGATGTAGGTGCTGAACACACTTGTGTCTGTGAAACTTTGGGCATTTTTCTGTGTGTATAATTATAATTAAGGAAAGAAGGCTAAAAGAACCTATTTTCCAGAACCTATATGCCAGAAAATGTCCAACTTAAAGCCATGTTTCAGATCTCTTTGAGAGGCCAATAATCCATAGATGAGAATTCAAGTAAGATCATATACTGTACCACATTTAAATGGCTAAATCAATTTTGTAAGAATTTAAACTGTTCTCTTTTCTAGACATGGACCATTAATTTTTTTTAGCGTTTACCATGCTCTGCTCATTTAGTTGCAGACGGTTCATTTCAGAGCACAGTTCTTCTGGCGAATAGACTATAAAATCTGCACATAGCTATTCTGCTCAGTGAAGGTAATTTATGTAGAAAATTTATCCTATCATATTCTTTTAAGAAGATTATTTTTAATCATGTGCATTTGTGTGTGTGTGGGGGGGGTGACAGTGGTGGGAGCATGTACACTTGACTGCTCGTATCCATGAAAAACCAGCAGATGTCCCTGGAGCTGGAGTTACAGGTGGCTGTGAACGACCCAATGACGATGCTAGCAATCAAACTGGGTCCTCTGCAAGAGCACCACTCTTAACTAAGGAACCATTTCTAAAATATCTTTTAAGAGAAGCTTTGTATTTCAAAGTTCAGGCCCCCCTCTTTGAGATAGGACTGTTCCACTCAATATTAAGAGCTAAAAGCAATTTAGCACATACAATGGGACTTTGGTGTCAACAGCAACAGAATCTGTGGCACTTTATTAATAATCACTTTATTTGACGTTTTTGAGCACAATCTTCTGTGTCTCTATGCAGCAAGGTATCTGAGAGATAGTAAGGATAATCTGTGTCAGATAGCCCTTGCTGTTCATGCACTAACTATGTGGCCAGGCTGGCCTCAAATATACAGAGCCTTTCTCTGCTTTCCAAGTGCTGGGATTAAAACCATGTGTCGCTATGCCTTGCTTGCATAAAGGTATTTAAAAACTTTAATTACTGCCTTTGAAACACAGACATTACTAACTTTTTGTAACATTTATTACCAATTGCCCTCACACATAATAATATCCGTATCTCCCAATGGCAAAATCTTCTGGTCGCTCTTGGTAGCTATAAGCATAAGAGATGGTGCCTACTTTAATTTATATAAAAGGTCAAGGTTTAGTCTGTTTTCCTGCATTGGCCCGATAGAAAAGAAGGGGAGACTTTCACATTTAGCGTCATGCTAACCTGGACCTGGAACAACAGAAAGTGCCCTGAGGCACAAATCAGGGCTCTGCCACACAGTAGGCACTCACTTGAGTAAAACATTTAATCCCAAAAGACACGGAGTACAATTTCTTGTACTCAGGATTTAACTATCCTAAATTTGTGCTGACTCTACTGCCTCCCCCGGCGTTCCTCTGCACTGTTGGCATGTGACCTGGCCACAGCAGAGTTTGTCCCACCTCCTCTCCAGGTAGGACCTCTGGAGCTGACCCTCTGATGCTGTCTCCAGAGTTCTCTTTCATTACATGTTTATTTTTGTCCTCGACATCTCTGTGCATGACTGGAAATATTCCACTTACCCTTCCTGAAGCTTCTCCCTCTCTCTCTCTCTGTCTCTTTTATACCATTGGCAGTGATTTGATACATTTTGTTCAGATTTTCGGGTCAAAGTAATAATCCCTGCAACTGCAACCAAGCTCTGCCAATGCTGTCCCCAGAATCCATTCCCATTGAACTTACTGCTCCTCCAGCAACCTGCCTGTGTGCCTTGGCTCATAGGTTCTCCTCATCTGCGGCCCTCCTCCATATCTTAGAAAATACAGTACAGTCCCCTACATTTGTAGCATTTGTTCCATATACATTTATATTGGAGCTCATTCTTTGTATGCACCCAACTTTTCATTCTTTAAGAGCCAACATATTTTAGTTATCTTTCCTAAACACAATTCTTACCCTCAGCCCACAGTCTAGCCCAGAGGACAAGCAGCTAACAACATGAGAAATACACAGTAACCACCAAGCATTGAGTACAATTGGACCACATAAGAAGGGATCTTCCACATCTCGGAAATCTGGGGTGTCAAAGGCGTGGCTCTCAAGTCACAGCCTACACACCGAACTGTTGACGGAGTTTTCTGTCCTGCCAGGTTCCCGCAATCATTAAGTCCCAAAGAAATCACACAGAGGTCTACATTAGTTATAAACTGATTGGCCCACTAGCTCAGGCTTCTTATTAACTCTTATAACTTATATTAGCCCATTATTCTTATCTGTGTTAGCCACATGGCTCAGTACCTTTTTCAGTGGGGCAGGTCACATCTTGCTTCTTCTGTGGTGGGCTCACAATGGCAGAGGAATGGGCTTCCTCCTTCCCAGAATTCTCCTGTTTTCATTGACCTGTCTCTACTTCCTGTCTGGTTGTCCTGCCTATACTTCCTGTCTGCCAATCAGCGTTTATTTAAAATATAATTGACAGAAAACAGACCATTCTCCCACACCACCAAACTATACCTTAAGCTACTCCAAAGAAAGGGGCTGCCTCCTCCTCTTCCCTCTGTTCTTTCTCATCCTCTCCTCTTCTCTTTCTTGAAACAAGGCCTTACCATGTAACCCTGACTAGCTTTGAATTTGTGATGATCCTCCTGCCTCAGCCACCCACATGTTAGGCTTATAGGCATGTACCCCCATGCTCACTCAGCTTCATCTTTTTAGCTACACATCCCTAAAACATAGTGCTGTGTAGTGTATAGTACAAAGTAGACACACTCAAAATAATGTGTAATAAACACTTTATAACTCCTGTAGAATAGGAATTCTGTTAGTCTTGATATCCCATTTCTTGTGAGATCAACAGATATTAATTGGCTGATGAAAATTAATCAAAAAGTTAACAACATACCTTTAGCCCTTAAGGATTTAGGGAAGCACTAATTGACATGACTTCTAAAATATTTCCTTAAGAAAGCAGAGCTAGCATGGAGAGCACTGTTAAATTCTAACCAAGGTTAGTTCTAATTCAGGAGGCTATGCAGTTAAATAATTGCATTGCAATTATAGGCCCAAATGGAGTCAAGCTTCAACTGAATCTCTGAAGTGACACATGAATAAAATAAAGGAGACCA